TGTCCACCCCGGCGACGGAGAAGCTCTACATCATGCTCGGAATGTACGGGGCGCTCATCGACGTCAAGTCGGACCTCAAATCCCTCTTCACCGGATACGCACCGCCATTTATCGATGCAGTTTTCGATAAGAATAAGGGAAGGGGAGGGGAGGAGGCAGCGTCGGGACGGGGGCTTCGTCGGGGCTCCCCGTGTCACCGCCGTCGTCGTGTCGCCACGCCATCAGAGGCTGTTGCTAGTGCTCCTCCCCGTCGCCTGCGCCCGTCACTCGCGCCCAGATACTCCCCCGCCGCCTGCGCCCGCCAGCCGCACCTAGCTGCTCCCCTGCCGGCCACCAGCCGCACCCAGCTGCTCCCCCGCTGCCGCCCGCGCCCGCCGGCGCACCGAACTGCTCCGCAGTCCCGCCCGAGGAGAGGGAAGGAGAGAGCAAGAGAGGTGGAGAGGGGAGAGAAAGATGAGGATGACGTGTGGGGCCCATGTGGGACCCACACCGAGTCAGATGCCAAGTCAGATAAAATCGGAGTCAAAATCGCCCGAGGGCCAAAAGTGATCCGGTTTTGTAAGATGAGCGATGTCAAATATCTGGTTTGTGGTTGCAGGAGGACTTTGTAATCCGAGGACATGATGAGGGACCTTCGATGTACTTTTTCCTTTTGTTTCCTTGAGAAGCCTCGTACCTCTTTTGTGCCATTCGTCTAACTGGGCCGTCAGTACGGCACACCACACACTCAGCTCCAGTTAAATGCATGGGTTGTACGGCCCAGAAGTAAATACAGGGACATTTAGAGCCGAAGCCACAAAGCAGGAACCAGTTTTTTTTCACAGACGAGCAAGAATCCGTGGATGTTACACAATTCTAGGTTTGCTACACTTGTATATCGATTTTTTTAAAAAAAAATCAAATAAAATAATTTTCCAATTTTATAATAATTATACACAAATAATCATACACTAATCCAACGTTTTATTTTACCTACCGGCCAAAAGCTCAAGCAAGTCGCACATATATATAAACCCGGCCTAAACGTCAAGAGTTTGGATCACCTAATTAGCAATTCGGTTGATTAATACAAGATTATCATTTGCTGGATAATGCTTCTCAAAAATACGAGTTCTTAAAAACTCTCACGTATTGTATTGCTAACATTACTAGTTATGAGTTATATATTTTCTATGTTTATTTTCCAAATATTAATTTATATTGCTAATCAAATAGGCCATCTATTTCATTTCACACATGTTTCAACGTTATACCGCCCCCTCTTATAAAGGCACGATGAGACAACGTTGATTGTTTCATCAATTCGTTGTAGCTCGTAGGCATAGCTCAACCAAACATACAACCGGGCATTTCCTGGTGTTCTTCGTTGCATGATAGACAAATAGTACTGTCAAACAAAATGGACGTTGCAACAATTGAGGGGTTTTTACTTGGTGATCTATCTGTTTTTCTATGCATCTACTGTCGTCTTGATTATAAGTTAATACTCCCTCTTACTTAAAAAAGGAAAATTAATAGTCGCTCCATCCCTTAATATTTAAGGTTTGTTAGTTCATATTTAACGCGCCAACCATAAGCACGCCGTCGCCACCTAGTCCTCACAACTTCTGCCTAGACCACTGCAGCCGACCGAGGATACTGAAAGAGGCGGGGGGAGGAGGAGGAACGCCACACTAGTAGGTGGGTCATGTACTTTTTTTTTTTTACTAAACTACCGCATCAGCGTGACAGTGTAAAGACCTCGTGGTTTGGGCTGAATGCGATGATTTGAATGGTTCGAAGACTTGAGGGGTGCCATATACTCCCTCCGTCCCAAAAAAAACCCAATACTGGGTTTGAATCTGGACATACACTATGTCCAGATTCAAACCCAGTATTGGGTTTTTTTTGGGACGGAGGGAGTACTCTATTTCAAAGTTAAGGGCGTGATTTTAGATAAATATCATAAATGAAGGGAACAAAATGGGAGATTAATTATTCCTGGTCTACGTGTACATGCAATGCCAAACCCCATGGACACAACTCACAAGAAGATCATGTTTCTCTTGAGCAGGTAGGAGCTAAGCAGATGTGAGCCAAGTCTGTTCCACATGTGGGGGAATATAGCAGAGTTAAGCCAACAAGTGCATGCGTGCCAGAGGAACTGGGGGAGGCAGGAACTGGACGAGCCGAGCTAGGGAGGGCGGGCAGGGCCCTGGCCTGCCTTGAGCTTGAAAATTTGCACTACGTTTACAGTTACTTTTATATATGAAATTTCGAAATATTAGTATTTTTATCATCTACTACCTCCATCCCAAAATATTTGACGCCGTTGACTTTTTTAAAAATATTTGACCGTTCGTCCTATTAAAAAAATTTAAGTAATTGTTAATTCTTTTTCTATCATTTGATTTATTGTTAAATATACTTTTATGTATACATATAGTTTTACACATATCACAAAAATTTTTGAATAAAACGAACGGTCAAACATGTTTAAAAAAGTCAACGGTGTCAAACATTTAGGGAAGGAGGGAGTACTAACTTATGAATTATTTTAGTGTTTAGTGTTTCTCGCTCCACAGGAAGAGAGAAGATGCAGGATTGAATAGAACATCAAGTGTACATTGCCATTTCTCAAAAGATCTGACGAATATAATGTCGTTCTTAACAACAACGGGTGACGTTGACATCAAGTGTAAGAGATGTGAAATTCAATCCAATAGCGTCAGAGGAAATAATTTTTAAGTGATAGATATTGAATTATCTTTTTTTCAGGGGCAAAAAAATTATTCTAGGGCATAAAAATGGTGATTTTATAGTCGCTTAAATAGGTGTTTGATGGTGTTATTAAAATTTAAATTTTAAATTTATTTTTAGTTTGCAATACCTCCTTCTACGTCTCTACTATGGAGCTAACCAACAATTAACTAAACTAGGGAGTAAGCCCGCACAGATGCGCGGGCAATTTAGATATTCTTTATTAAAAGAATATTAAAAGATGTTATCTTACCATATTTTATTTAAAATCCATAGATTATCTTATCTCTACCCTAAAATTGACTATAGACTTTGATGATACACTAAATTTAGTTATAAGAATGTCTCTGGTATTAAAAAAAATCACCTGGTTATATATAAACTCCCCTATCACAACTACTCATTATTGTTCTCTTGAAAGAACCGGGTGCCTTTTTAATAGATAGAATTGCTTATTAAAAAACAAACTGAATATATCATTAATACAATAAAAAATCATCTCCATTTTATACCGAAGTGCACATGTCTCACTTGTGTCTAAATGTATAAATATTTTTAAATACCTCTTCTATCAATTAATAAGAGAAAACCATTAAAATTATATATAAATTTTAACACCTAGCTCATGGTCTACACACTTACAAAAAGTGTATTAGTAAGTAGGCTAGTGAGTTCTACTAGCAAGAGTGAAAAGAGTCATAGAGGAATCGATGGAATGATCGTATGTAGCTAGGTACAAACATAATAAAGTTTTAATTTTAAATTTGAGGATTAGGAGGGAAAGATTAATATTTTTAATCATACATGTGTAGGTATGTTTTTCTAGGTTTTTTTCGATGAATAGTACATATTTTTTTCTGTGGTATGGACACGGGAGATTAATATGGAGGGATCACTTTAATACATCTAAACTAATGTTTAAAAATAATGGGTCACATGACGGCTTAGGAGCATTTGTACGATGTTCAATGGCATTTTAGAATATAATAATATTCTTGCCTCAATGATTGGTGGATAGTAGTACATACACAGAATTGATAGAAGGGTTTAAGTGTAACATAGAATTGACACGTAACGCAAGACATGTATGAGTCGAGTACACTGGACTTTATATACTATATACTCAGATTAACTTAAGCTTTCTAGTTGATTTAATCATTTTTATAGTCCTTGAAATACTAAAGATATAATTATATCAAAATATTTATCTGGACATTTCTAGATTTACATTGTTGTGATAATTCATATTTTAAAATGGAGATAATGTTTTTTTAGTGCTAATCACAATTAGAGTATTCTAGTTTGGGATATTGTATGTTGCTTTAAATATTAAAGTTATGATAACGTCAATTTTTCTGAAATATTTAACTAACATTACTTTGTTTTGTGAAAAATAATATTATTTTAACATATCAATATTTTAGAACAATGAATTTTTGTGGAGTGCTAACCACTAACCAGAACTAATTATTATTTTTTATTTTTTGATATTATAGAGCTAATCTAATTACGCATGACTGTGAAGTGATATATGATGATATGATCTACATTATCTTTGTTCTACACAATATTTTTTTATTGTTGGATGGCATACGAAAGGTTCGGATATGATTTAAAGTAATGGAAGAACTATTTTTCGAATGTTACTCATGACTTAAGTGTTTTTTATTTTTTGTCATATCTATCATATTTAATTTATTTATGAATGTTTTATAAAGTGATACATGATCATATAATATACATTGTTGTTTTTTCTTTTTTTTTCACAGCTTCAATAGCATCCTAAGGTTAGAATATGATAAAAAATAAATATTTCTTATGAGTTAAAGAATGTAGTAGCTATTATTGGTATTTGATTGGTTAATTAATCACCATGACTACGATAATGAACAATGATAAAATAGACTTATGTGCAAGGTTATGGTTATTTCTCTATATGTAAATGATTTAAAAATATTATTTTTAATTGTAACAGACTTAAAAGAAAGAAAGAGATGAGAAAATTGGATAGGAGGGAAGGGGGATACGTACATACCTAGCATAGGGAGGAGGGTGGGCTGGTGGGGGTAGAGGGGAGGGGGGTGGATTATGTTTTTTTTTCTAAAAATAAATCTCGTAGATGAAAATAGTGGGTTTTCTAAAAGATAAATCTAATAGATAAAAATAGTGGGCCTACTGATTTATTAGATATCCACGTGGTAACTTAAGAGCGTTTGTAGGAGTCTCATGTGGCGGCTTGAGAGCGTTTGTAGAGAGTTTAATGGACTTTTAGTATATAATAGATCCCTTTTAAAAACCAACGTTCCGGCATTTCCAACATACAAATATTGGGACAAGACCACAGACGCAACAAATGTTATAAACACCATCTCTAGGGTGAACAACAAAAAGCATAAGATATTTGCTTCGGTACAACAAAAAGTATCTCGAGGTACCGATATCTCATGGTACCAAATCGTTTCCGATCGTTGGATCTAACAATGCACATCCTGGTCAGCTAGATCCAACAATCAAAAATGATTTGATAGTATGAGGTACCGGTATCTCGATATATTTGTTGTTGGACCGGAGCAAATCTCAAAGCATAAATGGTACCTGATCACTACCTCTGCCCACCATTTGACATCCACCATTTCAGCAACGTACATGGACGTCCAGACCATAGACATGACACTGGAGTAGCAACATGGTACATCGTCGTCAAGATGTTATCCCAAGAGTGAAATACTCGGTTGTTCTGCTTCTGGTGTAACTTGTGCTATCTATTGTCCGCGTAAAGCTTCTATCCACCTCACGCAAGGCAATCAGCTCGCCTGCCGCATCCAGACGTTGTCGCACCAATCCTGTCAACCGTCGGAGCTCTTGGGCGACTTGCGACATCGTCGGCCGCTTATCACCTGGCATAGCTAAACACCTGCTTGTGAGCTCCGCAACTTGGTGGATGACCTCCAAGTCGTCTTCTTTGATGATCTCCTTATCTATGAGCTCGTCAACCGTGCCCTCCTTCATAGCGTCTTGAAACACCGACACAAGGCACCGCGGCTTCTTACCTGTTAAAAGCTCCACAAGAACAACACCAAAACTATAAACATCACTCTTGTCAGTGAGCTTACATGATTGCAGGTACTCAGGATCTAGGTACCCGACTGTGCCTTTTGCCACGAGGGCTTCTTCGTCCATTCGTGCGATTATTGAGCAACCAAAATCGGCGACCTTGGCAATCAAATTGTCACCTAGCAGAATGTTGGCAGATTTCACATCCCCATGGAGGATAGGACGTGCCAACGAATGCAAGTGTCCAAGTGCTTGAGAAGATTCAGCAGCTATCCTCAAACGAGTTGCAAGTGATATGTAACATCTCCCGTCTTGACCATGTAACAAGTCATGTAACGTCTTGTTCGGAACAAATTCATAAACCAGAATAGGGACTTCAAACAATAGGCAGCAACCAAGAAGCTTAACTACATGATCGTGGTTGACGCGACATAGTATAAGTAGCTCCTGTCCAAATTCCATTCTCCTGCTTTCATCCATCCCTTTGCATCTTTTTATTGCAACAGGAATGCTTTCTATAAATCCCTTGTAAACTGTCCCTTGTCCTCCTTCTCCAATGATTTGATTCTTGTCAAAGTCATTTGTTGCTACCTCAATGTCTTCCTGTCTGTACAACGTAAATTCAAGGTTGCAGTCGATTTTCATCATATCAGACAGAAGCTGGCCTCCATGTTGTTGAAAATACTCGTCCCTCTGTCTTATAAGACGCTGTCTTTTGATACTTCGCCTGTGAATGATCACTTGCATTCCAAGAAGAGCAATAAGAACAGTAAAAATAAAAGAACAAATGCCTGCAGGAATGAAAACATCAGTCCATTACTTGGGATCTAAAAGCAAAAGTTTAGGAGTTAACAACACCACGAAGGGCTGTGAGATCAAATAAGACAGAGCAACATGTAGAGAAGAGCACATGCCTCATGTTTCGATTGTATCTAGTTTGTTTGGATCTTCCATTGGTTTTTTTATTACATGGCAAACGTACAATCATACACAACACTACACATGCAACATTACACTCACACCGTTCCGAATGCGCATCCTAATAAACATTCTAATAGAAATAAACCAGCGCCACATCCATGATCTTACTAAAACTCTGTTAAAAGCCCACCTACATGTACGTAATATTTATGGGCACCAGGATTTGAACTTTGGTGGGTGAAGTCAAACACCCACGACTCGAAACCACACCACTGGTTCTTCCGCATCTTCATTCGTTTTTTGATCCAGTGGTCAATAGTATCTATTATGTTAGACGCCGTTGAAGGGAAATAAATGATTTTAACGTACCATTTAATAAGTTAAGGGGAGTAATTAATTGAATGATATTGCATACAATGTTAGCCAAATTTGAAATTTATAAGAGTAAATTTTGGAAAACTGTAAGTATTTACTTAAAATTATCGCCTTCATACAACTTTAACTAGGTATTTCACAAAATATCAAACGATTTTATCAGAAAACTTCTCTATACCCTGTGTGTGGATAATATGTGCCTTATTTCCGATAGCATAAGTATGGTATGACAGGTGGGCTGAAACTTATCGAGCGTACTTCCTCTGTCCTAAAATAACTTCATTTTTTACGCACCCTACATATTCCAATACAAAACCAAAAGAGTAGAATACCCCCACTTATCAAATCGCAATTAAATTATTCCTCTCCCACTACTACAAAACCCCTAATAGGTGCTGGTTTAATGAACCAATACCTATTGACAATTTTCCAGTTCCATAGGACGAAAAAATATAGAATCAACATCTTTGACCAAATATAGGTACTAGTTCTAGATAAAAACCAACACCAATAATATTAGCGCCGGATTCTCTAAAATGAACCAACACCTACAATATAAGTATAGGTGCTGGTCCAACACCTATAAAAAGCTGACCTGAGCTGACCCAATAGGTCATGGGGTTGGGAATACTTTAAACCCCACCAAGTCAACCCACCCCTTCTTCTCCTCTCTCGCCCCCATCCTTGATCTCCTCCTCGCCTTCCTCGACACCCCCCCCCAATCCTCATAGCCTTTGCCACCACCGACACTTATCGTCCTCTCCCCATTCTCGTCCTCACCAAATGTACGCCTCCTCGGTACTCCGGCAGCTTCCATCCCCACTCACGAAATCAACAGCTCAGGAACCGCCTGATCTAGCTACCTAAAGCTTAGTGAATTCTTGATCTTGCTTGTGTAGTTCTTGATCTTGTGTGGTTGTTCATCTTGCTGGTGTTGAATTGTGATGGATGGAAAATAATAATTGAATTTTTTGATCTGTGTTGCTGATGGGGATTATGGGTTGTTTGAAGGGGGGCAGTTCGAAGCATTGGACTGGTGAGTTGATGCTTTGATGTGACATCTCTTTTCTTTTGTAATTGTGGGTTGCACAAAGGCGCCGATTCTACCTCCGGCACTAATGATGCTAGGTCATTGGATTGCAACCGGCACCTTTTAGGTGTTCTGCGGTAGTGCCTTTATCTATCCCCAATGTATTTATTCCATACTTTCATAAACGCTGAAGCAATAATTTCTTAAAAATAAACTTAACTTTGGATAAATAGGAGGAGCCAAAAATAATCTTATTCTAGAATGGATGGAGGATAAAGTTATATCTCTCTGATAAAATAATTTGCTTTGGTCCAGTTCTCTGGAATGCTCAGCTGAAGTTACCATAAACTGGTATTTTTTGTAAAAATGGTTGTTACATTTCCAAATTTACTCATCAATATATAATGTGGCAATTATATTCGATTATTTTTTTGCTGGTAGGTCAGATTTATTGTATCATCTTAATTATGTCCTTTATAATGGATCATATAACTATATATTTAAGATGTTGTGTCACAAAACTACAGATTTAACACAAGAGTTATCATAAAACAACATTTTTAAGGCCAAGTACCACAAAACTACATCCTTAATACTAGAGTTATCACAAAACTATATATTTTACAGTTTAAATGCCTACCATACAATTACGTTAAGAGTTAGAAATGTTTTAGTTGTGTACCTAACTTGATGCAAAACATAGTTTTGTGATAATTTTATTACTAAATCTGTAGTTTGATCTTTCATCTTAAATCAATATTTTTTTAATAAATTCAGTACTAACTCTCTAGTTTTATGATATACCACATTAAACTTGTAGTTTTGTGATAGTTTGATCAAAGTATATGCTGTTTTGTAAAATTTACCTTTTTATTTGAAAGATGATCTAAATTAGTTTTTAGGTCTCCACAATGGTTATAGGTAAATATTATGTTTGGGGAAAGCAAAATTGGAAATATAATATTGTAAAGAGTGTGTGCTAACTGGGTACACTAGTAGCTACATGTCTTGTGTGCATGTCGCTCTTTCATATCGATACCTATACTAATTGGGCACTTCCTACGAGCTCTCACGTTAACTAGAAAAATCCAACCGTTGATTAGATAAATCGTGGTATAGTAACCATTGATGTAAAAATAATAATTAAGCTACGCATAGCAATTCTGATGGGCCACGTTAAAGCCAATTTAATGATCGAGCAAGGAGGTTATTTTATTCTATCTTTTTTTAATAGTTATCTCCAGCACCTAGGGATAGAAAGAAACAGTGTTATCTCCTGCAGCAATGGCATCGGTGACGAACGACACAAGATGATCGATCTGGACTCCAACCAGAGGCATCAGCGCAAGCGAAATTTGTTGAAGTTTCAAACCCATGGAAAAAACTCTAGGGCACACAAGTGATGACCTTCAGATCTCTCCCATGTATTGTTTTTCCTCAATCCAGATTTGTTTCTCATCCCAAACAATATCAAACCTTTTGGGTTGAGATTTGCCATTGGCTGAACCTCTAAATTTGATAGGTCATAAATCAAGATGCGGGTCGTCAAATAAAAAATAACGCTTGCACATCCGTTGTCGCGCATGCAATCTTCTATCGTCAGAATCCTCCACCCTTGCATCTGTATTCTAAGCAAGATGCAGCTGGTACCCATCAATTCTGCATGAACCGATAGATCAATTATGCATGTCGTGTGTCATCTATTTTCACTACTGAATTATTCTTCAAGTGCACACGATGAAATTTGTATGGTCAGTCATACATGATTCTCACGGCATCATCTAATGGTTGTATGTAAAACAGTCTAAGGGAAAGAGATGTGTCTACGCAGCGACGACTAATGCACAATCAATTAACCTTCATTTTAATGCTCCCTCCATTTTTTCTTGGTCGACGAGGGCTTTATGCGGAAAAAGATATTAACTACTACCTCTGTTTTCTAGTAGTGACACCACTAACTTTTAGGGGTGAAAACGGTATGGAAATTTTCCCGACCAAACCAATACCGTTTCCGCAAAACTAATATAATAATGATATTTTTACTAATGGTTACCGTTTTTAATTTTTTTTTTAATTTCTGTCAGCGTGGCATTGAAGTTGACACTAAATAGATGAATTCATAAATACAGAAATTTTCCGACCGTTTCTGTTTGTTTTTTTAAAAAAATAATGATACAGTTTCCAACCATTTCGGACCGTTTTCATCCCTACTAACTTTTGACATGACATTTGACTATTTTTCCTACAAAAATATATATCTCATTTAAAATTATATGATGTCACTTATTTTGTTGAGATATGTTTTATAATTAAATATACTTTAAATCTGACTCACACTTCAGCATATTTACTCTATTTTTTTAATAAAACAAGTAGTCAGATGCATATTTACACTATTTTTTTAATAAAACAAGTAGTCAGATGTTATTCCTAAAGTTAATGACGTCACCTATACAAAACAGAAGTAGCACTAATAATCATGTCCGACAGTTCAGTATGATGAACAGAAAGAGATTCATCTATGGTTGATCACCTCATCTGTAATCTACATAGGTACAGCTGAATTTGCATCTTCTATTCAACACATTCTCATATCTATTATGCCAAACATACATATTCTATTAGCCTAATTCAAGACATCCATGAATTTGTTTTATTTTGATTGAAATAATAAATTATGCTGCTAATCTTATATCAATTGAATATCTGTTTTCTCATAACTTATAAGTACATTGTCAAAGAAATCAGGTCGATTAACGGATTAGCGGCATAAATCTCATGCTCACTACAAAATTTGGATTAATTATTTGATCTATATTTTTCTGAAAGAAAACTAACAACTAATAACTAATTTCCAAATGTGTTGTTCATATTATCCTTATGCGTACTGTATACAGCCCATGGCATATTATTGATATTCATGTCATTGGATATTTTAAAAGTATTATTGCTAAAGTACATTATATTGAGAATTTGTTTTAGATAGAACATGGCATGGCCGATACCAAGGACTATTCAGTATTTTTTTTTCTCTAAAACTAAGAATTAATAGATATTGAGCTGTATCTATTTGAACTTTATCAATTTAATTTTGAAATTCCAAATTGATAATTGTAAATTATAACTGACATTTTCATACTAAATCCCATAATGCATAAATGATTTTGAATTAATAAATATGGAGTACCCATCTTGGATTCTCAATTTGGCTCCCCATATTAATTTAATTCTAAAATTAATAATCAAAAAGTTGTAAATGACATGAAATTTTTTTATTCTAAGCCGCTGTGAATAACCAACATATTTAACATAACAAAAATTTATATCTAATAATAATAATAATAATAACCCGTGCAACACACGGGGTGGCGACTAGTAATTATAAAAAGAAAAGAAAGTAGTGGTTTCAGCCTCATTGGTTACCCATATTCTCTAATAAACTGAAATTGATTATTAGGAAATTAG